TAAACAAAGTTTAATTCTCATCCACATTTTAAAAAGATTTAATGAGCAGCCCCTATTACTATCTTTAAAGTACCATTAATCACTTTTCTAAAAATAGCCACTTCAACCAACCTGACAACTGAACACCATCATCTTCTCCATTTTCCAGATTTAAGAGTGAGTTTTCAAGGATTTGAGCTGTACTGATAATCACATCATAAGATTTGACAACTTCTGGAAAAGATATTTTCAGCTGAGTATCACCACTTAATCCGATAATATGATACCATTTCTTCAAAAACGGGTTGAACTCTTTTCGGAAGAGCTGTTCAGCTAATATTACCTTAAAAATATGAGAATATTCAGAATTTTTAAAATTCGTAAAAAAAAAAATACAGGAAATCACAGTTAAAGAAAAAGGAGCACTGATCAAAGGACTATGTTCATTACCCATTACAACCTATGGACCATTCCTTATATCTATCTGACAGTAAACATTTATTGCATGCTTATTAGATACAGGCATTATATCTGGAACACAAAGGTGTTTAAGATATGGCTGGGGGCTTAGAGCAATCCCATCTACCTGAGCACATGACGGAAAAAAAAAAAAACTCTTATTACATCTGTAATTATTCTCCCAGAGAAACACAAGCAAAGTGACAGACAGAACAGGGGAAGAACAACTAACCTTTCAAATGAAGGGTTTAGAGGAATGCTGTGTGGGTCAGTCAAGCATTAAATCAAAAGTAAGATTGATATAGAATATATTTTTAATTTGTAGAGAAGGGTCAGGTGTGACCATGTATTCAAATTCAATATAACAGTTCACAGAATCCCCAAGTGTTGGATTCTAGAGATCATTTATTCTTTTGTTTGAGGAGCTTTCCAGAGGCAACCTGACAACAGGATTGGAAAGAGTAGGGAACCCAGAAGAAACAGCTGGCACATTTACTAGGAGGTACAGGGTGCCAGGAAATGAACTACTGGAATAGCTTTAACATTTGTGCCAAAACAAAACAGCAAACAGACTTGGAAAATAAATGGAAATTTTACTTCCTTTCTAGCCAATTCTCTGTGTTGAAATATCTGCTGAGCATGGCTGGTTGACACCTCAGTGCTACATATATATTACTAGTCACTCACAATACCTCGGACTGAAGGAAAGATGAGCTAGGCAGCCTTGTTCCCTAATTTTTGTTTTGTTTTGCTTTCTTTCAGACAGTGAATCATGAGTCTGACCTAGAACTTATTGTGTAGCTAAGAATGACCTTGAGCCCTGACCCTTTTGTTTCTACCTCTCCAGTACTAGGGTTGTGGATGTGCACCACAAACCATAGTTCTGTGTAGTGAAACCCAAATTCATGTATGCTAGGCAAGCACTCTACCAGCTAAGTCACATTGCCAGCCTGAGCCAAGCCTCCTTGAGGTTCCATTTTATAAAGATTTATACAGTGGAAGTACAGGGGTATAGTATCAGATAGGAAGTTGGCAATAAGAATTTCAAGGCCAAACTTCAACAGATGCACATTCTAGTCCTCATAATGTGATTACCTGATAATGCAGTCGGTGTTGGATAATCCTGAAACTCGCTCTGGGTGGCATTGACTTCCTATTGAAGGACACAGCAGAAGCCAGATGCAAGTCTGACATGGCTAATTGGGAGGTGTATGGTCCTCTTGGAGCCTTTTCCCAAGATGTGACAGAGTGCCTGCCAAGACTAATCAAACCCAACTGCTATCCACTTCTGCTGAATCATATGGGGCTGCATTACAGCATCTGAAGGAACCTGGGATTTCTCTCTCATGATGTTGAAGCCCTAGATAGGAAATGGAAAGTCTGGGAGTGCAGGTGGTGTTTTCATTTCTCCCTGCACTCGAAGGCTATAACTTTGGAAAGGATGGAGAAGAAAGGAAAGGATTTCTAGATTAAAAGGTATAGTACATTGCTATTGGGGTAAATATGATTGCACTGCCTTAGTAGGTCAGAGATTTTCTGAATAAAACAGAAATAAAGCAGAAGTTACTTTAAAATTTTAAAGTGGGGCAGTAAGCAATTATGACATAGAGGGTGGAGATGTTTTGACAGTTTCCAGGAAAACAAAAGAAGGAAGCAAGCAAAGACTGAAGTTGCATCTCCAATGTTCTTTCAATGAAAAAATGTCACTGGAAAATTAAGATTTCACACAGACAACTCAAAACCTTTTATTTAATGGGAAATTTTCAGCTACTCTACTAAATATTTATGAAGAGCTGGAACTATTGGAATATATTTGTTTACTCTTGCAGATTTTGAAAACAGCCACTTCTTGGATTTTAAGTAGCTAACTCAAAAGCTAAACTAAAGGTGGCACATTGGCCATACTAACTATATAAGATTCTTTAAAAAAAACCCAATGCAATTATATGAATAACAAAAGGAACCAAGGACTTTAAGTTGATGGCAAAGTTTAGATGATATCAAATCTATGGTGTTCTAGTGTACCCAGGTCCAGGCTGAGTGAGTGCCCATTTCACCTCTCCTAACTCTACACTGGTAAGACTGTATCTATAGCAATTTGTCCAGCTATGAATACTGTGTTTTAAGAGGCTCCTGGATGAATATCTTTCAGAGTATGAGAATTCAAACACTGAAAGGTCTAAATATATTATATGAATAACTGAAGTCATTTTTTCCAAGGGACAAAACAAACCAAAACAAAAACCACCCAATACCTACAGAATACAGTCTTCTCTTTGTGAAGGTCTCTTGTCAGGCAGAAGTAAAGCTTACTTTGCAGAATAACAAAGGAAAGAATGACTGTGGGTTCCAAAGAACCCACAAAATTGGGGGAATACGTGCCTCATTTTCTTGTAGTGGCAATTGTGGGAAGAATGGCTGGGTCTGTTTTGTTAGGAGGGAGGTATCTGTGATGCTAGAAGTTAACCAGCAGAAGTGGCAGACTGTTTTGCAAAGGAAGAAAGCTGTATCTCAAAGGCTCTCTCAGTTCTGATAGTTTGTGATCCTGTGAACAGATGAGGGAAATAAAGGAAAGAAAGGGATGAAAATTGATTCCTGGGCTTGTGAGGCTGCCTGGTTTGGGTGGAGTAGTATAAGTGACAAAGGGACAGATGGATGGAGATGAGACTACCTTTACGAGGGTAAATGGTAAAACTGATATTCCATAAGTGGCAGAATTGTTCAAAAGCATCAATTTTAGTGACTTTAAATTCATTTTTTGTTGTTTTATTTGGGGGAGGTTATTTTTTGAGACAGGAACTCCCTGTAGCCCCAGCTGGCCTGGAACTCACTATATAGACCAGGTTAGCCTGGATCTCATAGAGATCTGCCTGCCTCTTCCTCCCAAGTGCTGGGATTAAAGGTGTGTGCCACCGTGCCTGGCCTGGCCTTAAATTCATTTAACATTGTTCTTTTCCCTGGATTTAGGACTTCAATCCTATTCCATAACTAAAGTGCTTGATTTCATTAGATTACAGGTAGAGAAAAATATGAAAAAGAAAGTCAAGAAAATATGAAAATTTATTGAGCCATTAACTAAAAACAACATATGGCACACATACACACACACACACACACACACACACACACGCACACACACACACACAGAGTCTCATTTAAACTTCAGAACACATCGATGCTATCTTAATGTTTCAGATGGCACAACTGAAAAGTTAGAGAAGTTACATATTTTTCTGAGGTCAGACTGCTAGTAAGTAGAAATAAGATTTAATTTGTTGTATTCTAAAAGGGAATATGTAAAGGGTTTTAGACAAATAATTACTAATGTAGCAGTATTACCAGCAAAAAAACTGATCTCATGAGTATAAAAGTGTTAGTTTTCTTTGAACTGGAGTTTAAACCTAGTAGATAAACAAGAGCTCTACCACTGAGCTACATGCCTAGTCCCAAGAGAGTACTTTAAACCTAGAAGTTATACATAAAAGGGTATCTCAAATGGTTTGATGGGAATCACTGAAGTTGTGAAGTCTGTGCATATTCTTTAGTATTGCACAGCAGATTTCAACTAAAGGTTTGGGCATAATGTAAAGATAAAAAAAATAAGAAGTTTTATAGTCTATTGATGTGTTTTCTGTGCCTCCTGGACATGAAGGATGCTGCAGTCAAACACTCTTCATAGCTGTGGTTGCCTGAATAACACCTGGATCAGATCTAGCCAGTCCACATGCTGTTGTGGAACTGGAAGGGGTTCATGAGCCCCCATACCTAACTGAGGAGCTATGGATCATCATGGTTTCTGGGGGAGGAAGAGTGAGTTTTTATCAAGGGTATGGCTCCTGTTAGGTCCATCAAACTCCACTGAATGGTCCTACACCTAGAGTATGTGAGCATCACAAATTGGAATTGATGGGTTGTTGAAAAGAAAGCAGGCATGAAGTTGTGGAGAGGTGTAGAGAAGTGAGGGTAAATCTGAGGAGACTGCGGGTGAAAATGATCAAAATACATTATATGACATTCCCAAACAGTTAATAAAAAATTTTAAAATAAAATAAATAATAAAAAACCAAATTCTTTGAACATCACTTACCTGTTTAACTTGAAATAGATAAGCCAAACGTTCACTTAATTTTCTCTTTACCTTTATACCACATTCTATATATTCTAGATACAGAGCACATACTATGTTTGATGAAGGGTCAGTGGTTAAAGAGACTCTAAATGATAACGTTGATCCTAGTTTCCAGGGTATTTTCAGGTCATTCATGTTCACATACAATGATAACCCCAATCACTATTAGCTGACCTTAAAGTATGTTGTAGTGGTTTGAATTGAGAATGTCCCTCGTAGGCTCCAAGTATTGGAATATTTGGTCCCCAGTTAATGGCACTGTTTGGGGAGGGTCATGGAACCTGTAGGTCTGGCCATGCTGGAGGAAGTACATCACTGGGGAGTATATAGCTTGCCCACTTCCAGTCTGGCTCTCTCTGCCTCCTGTGCCTGTTTGAAGATGTGAGCGCTCGGCTTTCTGCTCTGGCCACCTCCTAGCCACCATACCTCCCCCACCATTATGTATTTTCCCACTGGAACTGTAAGCAAACTTTTCCTTCTCTATGTTGCCTTTGTCGTGATGTTTTATCACAGCAACAGAAAAGTAACATATATATATATATATGCAAATTCAATCTTTATACATAAGTTAGAGCTATTTGATTTAATGTAGTTTTATGAAAAATTTCATTTTAAGATTAATCACAGTTTAGATACACATCTAAAACAGAATTAAAAGTAACATCAATGACTTACTTGACATTTATACCTTATTAAAAAAAATCTGATTTGTTGCTACCAATGTTATTACAGAAAAGCTTCATAATAACAAAACAAAAATGAGAGCAGAAAACTATGGTGTGCATGCCTGAATACCTTATTGACAAGGACAATAACTTTCCCAGGCTCAGATGCTTCTCTTTTCTTGTCCAAGTGATCCTTGGTGATATAAACAGCCACTCTGGTTTTCCCGCTCCCTGTGGGAAGGCAGATGATGATATTCTTCCCCTCCAAGGCTGGTTGGGCCACTTCCATTTGGTAAGGCCTGAGCTGCAGTTCTGGCTCTAGGGATGCTCTTTCCATCCCCTTTCTCTCATCTGAAGGAAGTGAAAATAGCAAAGAAGCATATGAGAAAGGTAAACAATTAGCTAACCTAGGAAGCCCGAAACTGGAAAGAGACTTCTTGTGGTTTAAACTTTTTTCCCTGTGTGGTCCAAACGAACCCGTTTTCTGTTTTCTACACAAGGGAGTGTCAGTCCTGTTTTCAGGACATGATACAGGCACCCTATCATGGAGTGAATTAACAGCATGAAGGACTTAGGAGGGGACAACAAAAGAATGTTCTCAAAGAGTGGTGAGTGATAAGTGAGTTCTCAAAGCCAAGGTGAGTTTGTACAAAGTTCTGTGGTATATGATTGTCCACTCTAATTGCTAATGTACACGACTTCTCTTTGTTCAGCCATTTGCCCTCCTGGTTTCTCTAAGCTCTTCCAACCCTAAACCAAGAGGAAGTAGAAAAGTATGACTCATTAGTTTTCCCTGTCTTCAAGAAAGTGCTACAGCTGAAACTACTTACCATAACTTGCCAAAATATTATCTGACAACTAAATGCCATAAACCACATACTACTGTTATCTCCTGGTATCTGTGGGGTTTAGATTAAGTGCTGAGGTCCTGCATATAAAATGGCACAGTATTTGCATGTAATACACAAATACCTCCCCACGTTCTTTAAATTATCTCTACTTCTAATGCCTAATTAATGTAAATGCTATAAAAGGTTATTATTTTATTATTCAAGTGACATGTTCAGTCCAAACAGACATTTAAAATATATTTTGGATTTGTAGTTGAATCTGTAAATGCAGAACTTGTGGACATGGAGGGGTTATTGTGGGGGGGATCCATTTGAGGCAGTTATGGGTTGTAGAAAAGCAATATTCAAGGAGCAGGACAAAAGGTTTCATATGCTAGCCTTTACTTGATGATGCTTCCATAAAGGCAAAAACATAATTTTGCAGATCTAAAATAAGTTGTCCTTAATTTTATCATGTAGTTTTTGAATTGTCATTTTTACTGTTTTCTGATATGTGGGTCTTCCTTCATCATATTTCTCCTGAAATCCAAAGCACAAAATACTATATTTTCAATTAACACAGTTTTTTTTAATTTTAAAATATGACAAAGTAGATACTAACATACAGTGATTTTATAAATGCTTGAATAAGATTGCTATAACACACCTTGGCTTAAATTTGTTTTGTTTGGAAGTGATAATGTTTTCCTATACTGTGAGCCAAGGGGAAATGCTCTAAAATGTATCACTTACAACATGGAATGTAGTAAAACAAATATTATACCTTCTTAAAAGTCAACCATGTGCTTTGCAGAATCATAAGGAAGAAGTGAATTGACAGTACTTATCAGTATTTCATCATACGTGTTCTTTCTCCTATCAGTGATCACAATAAAACTAAACTAACATAATCCCATTAACTTCTGAAAACTTGCTGATAGCTTCATTTCAGCAAACAGCTGATTTGATTTAAGTGGGTTTTAACTTGCTGTGATAGTACTTTCTGGATAGGTAGGAAAATTCACACCAAATGAATAATCTACTGACCAAGCAGGAAATTTCCCTTCTTTACTTTTACAAAGACAGTTGAAACATTAAGCTATGACTGGGTCATCTGCTGAGTCATTTAATATGTATTTATTAAAATGGTCACACAAGATTGTTAGTGTTTTAACTATGAATTTACAAGTCTTTTTAGCTTTGTTTTGAATTTTCATTTTATTTCTATTGTACTTATATAAAGTTCATATTTACTTAAGGACAACATTCCCTTTTAATCATGTGGCTTTTAAAGGAAATAAAATCTAAAAAATTCTTCTCTATTAAGAACATTTATCACCTAGCTTTTCCCAAAGGAGAAAGAATAGTTATGTTGAAAGGTATATTTTAAGCAGTATCTAAATCAAGATACATGAACTTATATGTAAGTCTCAGTTAAATTTTACTCTAGAAAAATTTTGGTATGCATTTAAAAATTAATAAAAGTTGCATTTCTCATAGTAATTGCATGCACTATATTTTTGAAACAGGGTATCCCTGTAGCCCCAGCTAGCCTGAAACTCACTCTATAGATAGACCAGGTTGACCTCAATCCCATAGAGATCCACCTGCCTCTGCCTCTTAAGTGCTTGAACTAAAGGCATGTGCCACCATGCCTGGATTGTATGCATATTTTAATAATTATTTGCCTCCTTTGGTTTTCATATTTTCTATTATATTCTTTGATAGCAAAAATTTAAAAGAGAAACCGTTTTCTAAGTCATCTCTTTTCCAAGAACCCAGACCCAAATAAAATGAGTAAAGTCTCAGCACCACCTATACATATGTTACAGTTTATGAAATGTCTCCTCTGCTCCATGAGCTCCTGTGCTTGAACACCTAGTCCCCAGATGGTAGTTTTGTTTTGGGAAGTTGTGGAACCTTTGGGAGGGTGGGTAAAGGTGGAGGAAGTGGATTATTGGGCAGGGGGTAAGGGAGGGACTTTGAGGGTTATATCCTGGCCCACTTTTTAAAAATTATTTATTTAATAACCATATAATTAGAAGAAGCATTTCCTTACAACAGCATTGACATATTCAATAGCAATTTCCAGAGCTAAGATGCATCTCTTTCAAAATTGGCTGTAAATTTTTAGGTATATAGTTGAATTAATACAGTTATACAATATGGTACTCTGTCAAAACGCTATAAGACATAAAATTAAATGAGGTTTTAAACTTTAAAAAAGATCTCCATTTCATTATTAAAATACACAGTTTCATACAGAAAAATTCATTTTTAATACAATTGACACTAAGATGCACATGCGTTTCTAATCTCTATATATCTGATTCTTACTAGTCACAGTTGGTTACTTTCTGAGCTCCTTGGCATCTGAGCATGGATATAAAGTCATCAAGTAGATTTCAGTGGTAATGTTTTTCACATCTACTAATTATTAAGGAGCAAACTTTTATGCTTTGAAGAATACTTTTTCTTTTTTGTTTATTTATACACCCACTTCCCAGGAAGCACCCTCCCATAGCCTCTCTCCCCCCAACTAGAGCACTTATACTCTGATATCCCTGCTACTGTCTGCTGTGTTGTCGGCACCCCCAGCCATTCCCCACTACTTGCCCTTCTGGTGAATCTAGTCAGCCTATCCCTGGCCCACTTTTGAGCTATGCTCTCTGTTTCCTGCTAGGATGTCAAGAGGCAAGCAAGCAAATTCACTCTCCAGCTTCCATAGCCATGAGCCACTCCCAATGCCATAAAGAACTGTATTCATTCCCCAGAACCATGAACTAGAATAAATCCCTCTTCCCTTAAGAAAGCTTCTTCTCTGGCATTTAGTCACCGTAATGAGAAAATAAGTAATACAAAATATTAGGCTTTCATTACACCTTTAAATCTAAGAAGGGTTAGAAGATTAAAAGGGCTATCATTTTCAAAATTTAGCTCCCAAACCAAGTTTATGAAGTTTCACTGCTTCTTAATTGATCACATGCCACTAATGCGTCCTACAGACACCTACTATATGTGACACCCTGTCAAAATGCTTCTGTTTGTTTCTCAAAGGACACCAGTCTAGGGAACTACAAATTGCCACTTCCAGGTAGGTAAATGGAGAACTCCATGATTTTCTTTATTTTGGAGTCCAAGACTAGGAGTCCAATGGGCAGCCCCAAATTTTAAAACAGAACAATAGAATAGACTTGGGGAAAAAAATCAGAGTTGAATTCTGTATGAGAAAAGCATCCGAAGTAAAAGACTGGGCGAGTGTTAAATATTCTGCCTAATTTTTGCCTTATAACGTCTTCTGACATAGAGATGGAAAAAATTATCTACATAAGTAATGTGAAAGGAGTTTTATCTCCTCTATCACCAGAAGGAGAAAATTGGGCTGGAATCAATGAGCCATGAGCCAATTTCCATTTAAAAAGAAATGTTTGAGTTTTTGTTTATTTGTCCTTGACTCCCTCTGCAAAGTATAATCAATTAAATCCAATAATGAAAACAGTATTTAAAATATGCACATGCTTTAAATTACATTGTGTATTTCTTTTTAAAAGACAAACAAAAAAACATTTTAAGGTCTTTACATTATTACAGCGTATAAATGGTCAAAATGAAATGAAATAGGGTTTCAATAATAATATTCTATTGGAGCTACACCATGTGGCAAATTTCATTCTCACATGGATTTTGACAGCTGAGTTATTCTTGGAGAAAAGGTCTGTCACTGCATGTGTTTGAAATCGACAAAGTATTCTTTTACCTATAATATATAACCACAGAAAAACAGACCATTCCTGTTGGGTAAATATAAATAGGCATCGTCTCAAAATAGTAAGAAGCACTTTCTATATATCAGGTCAATAGGGATTGAGAAAAAGTCTCTCTCTTTTGAGATGCAATATATCTCTCTAAAAATGGGAAGAAAAAATGTTGGTAACATAATTAGATTATTTAAACTTTAAAAGTACCAGCAATCATGTTTTACTATAGCATAATACTTCTACAAAGATTATAGTACAATTGCCTTCTTCCCTCTATATGATCTATGAAGGAGGACTAAGGAAATTTAAAATTAGGTGTTTTTGATGTCAGCCTAAAAAGTTAAAACATAATTTCAGCTCTTATCATACCTTTTAATGATCCAATATTTGTTAACATTTCACCAGTTTAAGAAAACCTTTTGTCATGTACTTGAGGGTAAAATGTTCCATAAATGGTATTTCACAATTTTACTTCCAATGATATAAAAGCATTCTTTGTCCCTGACCACTGATCTATCTAGACGTTCAAGGACATCATTTGAAAATGTGTTTGTCTTTAAAAATGTATTTACCTTTGAAAATGTATTTGCTTTTCAAAAGTGGTTGGTTCAGATTTATCTCATCTTTCATGCCACATTGAAGACTAGAAATCAGCAAATACATTTGCTAACAGTGCTAAATAGGCAAAACACCCTACAAATAGAGGATGTGTTTTAGATACTTATTGAATGAATGGATATTGTTGAAAAGCCCTTACTTAGACAAACAAAAATTAGGATAGGGCACAGAAGCTTAAAACAATCCATATAGATATTAATTATTAGATGGAAGATACTTAGAGTTCTAGCATCAATAATAGCATACAATAATTATTAAATTTAAATACTTCTCAACAAAGAAAGAAAAACAAGTTCATTCTACATGAGAACTTAGTAAACACTGACTGTACTGAACAGAAAATGAACCCTATTTTGATTACAAAGTTATGACTGACATTTTGTGAACTGACTTTCCTCAAACTAACTTGCTGTAAGGGATTCAGAAGTACATTTGGGAGGGAAAAAAAAAAAAAACATAAATAGAAGTAGTGGAGTTAGAAATCCTTTAAGGCATATGACCATCCCATCCTTATGCAAAATCTTTTATCCTGCTGTAGATATATATTCCTATAAATTTGGCAATTCAAGACAATACTAATTACAGAATTTTTCTAAGTAGAAACAACTCAATTGCAAAGAAGAATAAAATAACTTGTTTCTTAATCTGTCAGTTTTCCTCAAGTCCTTAGTCTGCCCATTGCAAAATATTTTTGTTTGTAATTTGTTAGTTTTAACTTTTATAGATTTTTTTCAAATGTTTAGGCAAATATAGAAAGGTGAATAACAGACATCCAGTATCCATCATCCATACCTGAAAGATGTAAACTTTCTAGCTCAGAGGTAAACCCACATTCAAAGAATAGAATGAAGTAATTTGAATCTATCAAACTGACAAGTTAGGAAATGTAGTAAGAGGAAGGGAAGTATTGATAAATGTAAGTGGACTGGAAGCAGGCGTTCTCACTTCAAGTTGGGAACTAACCAGTGTGGAGGGCAGTTTGGGAAATGCCTAGTAAAGTTTTCACTTACTGGCTAAAATATCATATATGCTTTGCTCGTATTCAAGGGTTTCTTGTCCAAATCAAAAAGTATTTAGCCCTATGTGTATTTTCTCCATTTTGCTTTTAAGAGAGATCCTCCTTATTATCTGTAGTTACCTATAGTCACAATACTTTTATTGGAAATATCTGATTTTTAGTGTATTTAAATATAAAGGAAAAACTAGAAAGATATAAATGTATCAAACTGCACAAAGAATTTAAGTGCAGTTAGACTAATTGAAGCAGATCGCATAAATAAGATAGATGACACGATTCCATGATATGTGGCTTTTGCCAGACAAAAAAGATACACACCAGAGCAAAATTAGACTTTGGTTCTAAGACTTTTTGTAAGTTGTACTCTTAGAGAAAGTAAATGGCAAAGTTCCAAATGACTCGCTGCAGAAAAGAATTGCTTTAATTACATAGATACATTAGGGAGGGTATGAACAGCCCCCATGCATTCCACTATATGGTGTCTTATTTCACACTTTTTAAGGTTTACACAACAGTTAGGCAGTACCTGAATCACTTCCCATGGTGCCTGAATCACTGCCCATGTTGCTGTTATGTCCAAGACTTTCATCTAAGCAGCTGACACTTCCTTCTGCCAAACTTGTGTCTGATTCTGCAAAGGAAAACATTTTAAAATATTTAAAAAATATTTCTGAGAATAAACGTATTTTAACTGCACACCTCTACAGCACACAGTACATACAGTTCAATGGAAGCAGGGAAGGCGCACCCAGGCAACTAAGAATAAAAGGTAAGAGTTTCTGGCAAACTACACTAAAAACATTCCACTATGGATGAGCAGCTGCCCGGAGTGACTCAAATCCACGTTACCTACCCACAGCCCCCTCTACCCAACAGGAGAGCAAGTGTGAATTCCTGAGTGTTTGTGATTTTATACCACATATCATACCTGTGTATGTAAATTCTGCTCCCGAAATGAATTTTTGAGTTTGACAGTGTCTTTAAAGCAAAAATTTTTGTAGAAATCATTGAGCTGCTTTCATGTAAAATGGTGGGAGAATGAACAAAGTACAACATTTAATCAAGTTCAGAGACCTACTATCAGTTATGAAACAGCATTTCAGAGACAAACATGAATGCAAAATCTCAGAACGAATCTACTCGAAGAGAGTATCACTGATGCTTGGCATCTCGATATCCTAGAAGCTTATGTGACGCTGGAAGAGTTTTTCTTTAGTATAATTACATGAAGCCTCATCAACTGACAGTATGAATGGAAAGTATATACCCCTCATGGAACCCCAGTGTTCTGTTTTCAATAGTCAGAACTAACTGTTCCTGAAAACCTTTAGGGTTCAGTTTAATTCCAAAGATGTATGCAATCTCATCATCAAGGATCAGAGCTAACACAAAACTGAAATCAGGGCACAGTTCTTGGGGTTGACTGGGAATAAAGACTTGTGAAATTTGCTATGATGTGGCTCTGATCCCAGGTCCCTCAAGTAAAATAGGTGCAATGTCATTACATCATAGCATTTGGTAACCACTGTGTAGCAGTAGACTCAAGAAGCTGCACACACAGTAGTTTAATTGCTAGAGTCTAGAAAAATGAAATCAAAACCAAGTAGTTGGTATATTACTAGGGCAGACATTCCATTTCATAATGTTCTCATTAATATATTTCACAATATTTACAACTTGTTAGGTAATTATCATTTCATCCTAAGGATCTCCAAAAGCACTAATAAACTATATTGAGGCACCCTTTTAACTACTTAAAACTACTGTTGAGTGCCATATTTTTAGTACTGAAATAGAAATAGCTGAAAACAGACACACTGTGTGCTATAAGTCAACTCAAGAGAAAGAAAAAATACAGTTCAAAGCTGTAAGTATGTTATTTATTTTAACCAGCTAATTTTTCAAAGTCAAATGAGGTATAACTTCACTATGAAATCACTCTTGAAGTGTATGATTCATGAGCTTCACAACGATTTCAGTTCTGTGGCCACTATTACAATTGGAATATTTTCATCACTCCACAAGTCCCCTCAGGCTCCTTTGCCCTAATGCCTTTCTGCTATCCCTGCCAACCACTGATCTGCCTTCCTTTCCCACAGCTTTCCCTTTCTGTAATGTCACATAAGTGGACTGATGCAAAGTGTAACCCACCTTGAACTTAAGATTTTTGAGGTTCATCTGTGCTTTATATCAGTAATTTCTTGCTTTTCATTGTAGACTCCTATTCTTATCTGTTTGTGACATTTAAGGCATCTCTCTACAATTTTATTGTCCATTTAAGTTGGAAGATATAATGGAATTTCAGCCAGTCCTAATCAAGTGTGTACAGCATCTTCCTTAAAAATTGCAAGAAAGCTGATAAAAAAAGTTGTAGAAAAATTCTCAATGGACATACATACTGTTTAAGTATATTAGCACAACATAAATACACGAATGTGAAAATACTGTGCTTATCAGTTGTCGTAGATTAGCTTAAAACTCAAATTTGAGGAATCCCTTATGATCACACGGGAAAACCTGTATATCTCACAGAGAGATTTTAAATATGGCACTTTGCAATTCCCAGAGGTGTGCCTTGTTAGAAGCTCAGAGGCGAGTGTGGGATAGAACTGTCAAGTCGAAGAGCGTTTTGGGCAGATGCACTGATGAAAAGAGAATATGATTTGTAGGGAAAAGGCAAGGTGTAAAATGAGATGGGAAAATGTCACTGCAAGGATAATTCTAGATCTAGACACATAGGCCAAGATTTTTGAAGTAAAAAGTAAATTCTGACATACTTTCCATTTGTTATTTTAAATGTAGAATCAAGAACTGGGGAGAATACCAAAGTGTCTGGAAAAATGCCAAGAAATATAATTAAAAATCCAATATTGCTACCATCAAGGTTTCCAGTAAGTGTAGTACAAATGAAATTATATTCGATTTTTACACTTAATTTTCTAATTATTAGCAACTAAACCATAACCTACTCTTGGTATATGTAAAGTCAAGATTTCTATGAGCTTTGTTCTAGCATACATAATTTTTGGGAAAAGGATTAATGCAATGTGCACCCATAATTTATTGATAGGAAAGTTGCTATAAAATAGAATATTATTAATGAAGTTTACAATCTAGATTATTTTGATCTCACAATCAAATCTGTAACATGTCAGGAAGCCAATAAGCTCAGTACTTTCATGGATGTTACACAAATTATGTTTTAAATCTTCAGCCTCCTCTGCAGTAGATACCATTATTAGCCCAATTTTAGAGGTGAGAAACCAATATTCATAGAGGTTAACTGATTGATCCATGTCACCCCACTATGGAGCAGAGGCCTGATAGTCTACATCCAAATCTAGTGTTCTGGTGCTTTTTACCACCATCATGCAGGGCTCATGATTTGTGTGATTCTTTATAAATAAAGAAACAGTTCGGAACCCTCTGTTCTAAATGAGATGAAACTTGCTTCTAAAAAAAATAATAGCAGTCATTTTTGTTGTGATGTCAAATTTTCCATAAAAATTAAAACAGAACTTATCTTTCCAAGAAAAAATGTAGAGAGATGATAGCACTTTGCTAACATTTCTGACTCACTAAGGGACATATATTAACTTTACATTTTCTTTTCCACACTCACTTGGCAACCAATTTAAAAGAGAATATTTCTGTCCTCACTGCAGAAAAGCAACTGCAGTAATTCTGCTAGAGATGATTGTGAAAGTGAGTACAAAAGAGCTCTATTTCTTTTATTTAAAGTGCATACAAATCTCCAACTTCTCCTCACAAATATACTATATTTTCCTAGGCAGCAAATTTTTATGCATCTTCATTATTTTTCTTTCCTAGAAATTGAACCCCTAAGGGAAGTAATTTGATAATAAAGAAAATACATTGTGTCTCCTATAACATTGAAACTGCTGTTCCCAAAGGTTTTCCTTCTGAATTCAATTTTAAAAATCCTATCACACACTCACATGTGCACATGAGCACCCACACAAATATATAAACCTCTCCTCAAAAGCAGTATCATGAAAGTGCTTATGTGTTACCATGTTGCAAAAAATAAACCAATGTTTTGTGTTTGTGTACTGAAAAATTGATTGTTAAGTCTGATTTATTGAGGATTATCTTGTTTTCTTCTTTGTACTTGTCAAGATATGTCAATCTGAACTTAGGTCCTAATACCTAAAGTCAGGAAGAACAGGCCACGTGCTTTTGAGCCCAGTGGAACTCTGCAGATCTGATCTCATCCACTGCTTACAAGTGGCTTAATCTTGTTTAGAAAATAAATATCGTTCCTATACTTTTAACTTTTATTGTATGAATGATCCTGTTAAATGAGGAAAGGGAGTCTAGGAAAGAAATAAATCCAAATTCTTGAAAAGTTGCGTTGAATATTGAAGTTACAATGTTTAGTGGGTTTAGTTAACTTTTATATGTTATTTCTTCTAGGGGAATTGTCAAAGCCAGCTATGAAATAAATGTGAAAACGGTGGTAATGTCTATTAGTGCAGTTGTCCCTATCAAGCTCTCTATCAAATAAAATTACACTTTCCCTGTTAAAAGTAGTATTTCAAAATTAAAACCTTAAGAATAATAACCTCATAAACAAAATAAAAACAACGACTTTGCTTACAATGATGGTAAATCTCTAAGAGCAGGTTGAAAGTCATGGAAAAAATCCACTTCATACTGGAATCATCTTGAGTATTTTGTTAATATGGAAGAGTTATTAACTAAAATATAAATAATTTCATATTTAACAAGTCTAAACCTCAAATACTTTAAAATATCTTTAAAATCATTTCTAAATTAAAAAAACATTTAAAAAATTGAAAGGGAAAGTGGGGGAAGCATTTTAATTCATTTAAATGTAACGTCTGCCCTCTGCTGGAAAATACTATTATAGCATTGCGGGGCACAAATACTAAGGTTTTTCTTCTTAGAGCTGGATTTCATTAGGTGAAATGCAGTTTGGCTCACTTCTAACCCTCCAGGTAGAGTTTCTCTGTTCTTCACTTTAGATGTAATTTCACTCTGGAGACTCTATCTTCTCTCCCGTGCCTCAGTCTGTCACAGATTCTCTTTGCTGAAAAGCAGCTTTTTGCATTCCAGCAAGAAACGGTGGGCGGAAAAAAGACCTCTGTGTGCTTTTGTACACTTTCTGTTTCCCGGGAGCTCCTGCAGCAAGGTCGTCACCGTCTGCTTTTCATGGTAGTCTCATGTGTATTTAACGTATGACCTCATCATGGACTTGAACATCATACCTGCCTTTTCCCCACTCTCAGCATCTTGTCAAAGCTTGAAGCATGCCCTCACATCGGCACGCACACAAGGCTGCATGGACCCCTTAAATGTGCTTACTTTCATAGTGCTAATAACACAGGTTTCCTTTTCTTTAGAAATAACAATATTTTTGAGAGGAAATAGATTACTTTTATTTTCAGCTCTATGTATATGGATCCACACACACGCTCACATTTTGGTCTGTCATAGTTTTCTCTCTGTGCCAGGGAACATGTGTTCCCGCAGAATGGAGAGAAGCCACCTCCACCCACCTTGCATATTCTCTCCTGGATCCAAGCTTCTAGGAAATGAGTTTCCCAAAGATAAAAATCTCTCTGAGAGCCACAGGCCCACATGGCT